ATGGCTTGTATTTGCAGTAGTGTGTGTGTGTGGTGGGTGTGTGTGGTTGGTTTTTTTTTGTTTGTTTGTTTGTTTTTTTATGAACCAGTTTCCCTTCCATGCATTTTCTCCCCCAGCCTGTCCCCTCTGACACTCCAAACTCTATTTTTCCATTTTCATTGACTGTGATTCAAAGCTACCTGCATTTGTCTTTGCCTTAACTGTATTTTAGAGAGCAAGCAGTACTGATGGTGGAATTAGCAAAATAGTCAGTGATAACAAGTGACCTTTGTTCATCTGCAAATTGTATAAGGCTGCCTTGATGTTGGAATTATCAACAATTGTTCACCGCTAATGGCCTTCCTGGAGTTTCAGGATCAATACACGAGGCTCCCATAATGTCTAACAATCCATTTCCAACAGTTAAGTGTCCTCTTGAAAACACTTCTAATGTTTACAGTTTGGACCTTGGTTTCACATTTGCTTTTGTGCATTAGAGAAGAAATATGCTCCTGTTTTGCTGTATGTCTGTAGCTAGAATTGATGTCCTGTTAGAATTATATTGAGAATCACATTACTCAGGACATGACTTTTTTTTTTACCTTGCAAGGGACGGTTATGTTTGAATCTGTCAGTATCACACAGTGATAAAGAGGTTCCTGTTGCTGGTCAGTTTATGCCAGTTCCATCATTCTGTTTAAAAGTTAAGGATTAAATTCTGCCTGTAGTTCAACTCAGCAGGCCATCTCTCCCTGGCAGCCCCCTGCAAGGGCTAGGCACAATGGCCATCCTTTGAGCATGGCTGTTTGTTCCCTGCTAGCCACACCCTATGTATGTTCTAGGAATTCATCCAAGTGCCAATGCTGAGATTTGTCCAGGACAGCAGCGATTTATGTCCCGTGTTTCCCCCCCACACACACACCCCTGTTTCAGAGGCTGGACAGTATTGTTTTGGTTCCCAGCCCTGACTCACACGCCTCCTCTGGGAGATCGCTAGAGCTGAGTGAAATTCTTTTGGTGAATAGTTTATTTGCCCAAAAAATGCAGTTTCAGGTTGACTGAAACTATTTGATATTGATCCCTGTTCCAATGACTTATTTATAAAAAGTAGGAAAGCTTCAACAGAAGAGACTGAGACCCCATAACTCAGTTGTTAGGGTGACCTGCAAAACCCAAGTCCAAATTCCGTCTCCAGATCAGCTAGAGGCAGGAATTGAATTTCGGGCTTCCACATACTAGAAGAGTGCCCTAGCCACCACTGCTCCTCTGCCTTCATTTGACCCAACTTGAAATTTTGCTGACATTTCATATTCAGTGCAACCCAAAATTAAGCCTTTTTTTTACTAGATTGTTGTAACAGTGGCAAACGGCGACAGCGTGTCTGCTCTACTTGTGGCTGCCTTTGCTGATAAAAAGAGAATCCCGTTGGTGCAACAGCATTGGCAGCATTACTGACTACGCTGGTATGCGGCTGAGTTAATGCTCCTCGATAGCACCATATAAAGGGGTAATCTAAAGGCCTTTATTGATTTGCACCAGACTGCCCTCTTTTGTGATTTAAAGTCTTGCTTCTTGAAGTGATGCAGCTTCCCATGGCTGTAATGATTGATGGATTTGCACAGGACCTTAGCTTTGGATTTGGCTTCAAGCTGGAAATCTTTAGTCCTCTTTTTCTGTTCCCTGGCCCTCCCTGACAGAATCACCAGCTCCCTCTGACATTCTTTCTTCCTCCCTGTTCTCCCCTACCACTATTTGTTGCTTTTCTTCTCCATTACCTCTGCTGGTTGCCTCAAACACCTTGGTATTGGTTTGATCTCCGAGGATTGGTATGGGATATGGAGCCTTTAATTGCCTCTAGGTCGCTAGCTTGAATCCAGATCAGAGACCTGATCCATTAGCCCTTTCCTGTGTGAATAGCTGCATTGACTACAGGCAGTAACCAGAAAGTCATTACCACCTGACAGCTTGGACAATGATGCTGATTGAAACAGTACCTGGTGCACAAGAATCAGCTACACTGCAGTTGGCACCCTTGCTGACAGCCTCAGTGAGGGCCCACAGTTTGAAAGGACATGGAGCTGGGCCAACCTTCTCACTCCAGGGTGGAAATACCTGTCACGATGGGGCACCTCAGGCCCCAGGGCTGTCAGCCTGGCACCTTTCCCTCAGCACTACATTGACTTTGTTAAAAACATTTACAAGTTATTTGTGTGCATCTAACCCAACCTGTGGTTAATCACATGCTTCCACACAAATGACACCTGTCTCTGAATCCTTGAGGTGTATCTCAGAAAATTGAAAATGCTGCCCCTTTATATTTATTCTACTCTGGATACCTGCGCCCCTCTCCCTCCCCGAGACCTATTGAAGAGTGAACATCTAAACATTGCTCCGGTCTCTTAAGGCCACCACATTCACGCTCTGGATCCTCAGATGGAGCAAGTGCCTGAGGCTATAGATGCCCCACAGATCTAGTGTTTGGTTTTCTGCAAATACAACAGGCTGGGTAATTATAACTGGAACTTTGTTAAAATTTGAAGACAGATGCGGGGGGAGGGATAGCTCAGTGGTTTGAGCATTGGCCTGCTAAACCCAGGGTTGAGTTCAATCCTTGAGGGGGCCACTTAGGGATCTGGGGCAAAATCAGTACTTGGTCCTGCTAGTGAAGGCAGGGGGCTGGACTCAATGACCTTGCAAGGTCCCTTCCAGTTCTAGGAGATGGGATAGCTCCATTAATTTAATTTAAAATAACACTATTTATTCATTAAAATTCAACAAAGGAAAAATATCTCCCCATCCTGCCTTTGATGAATCTAGCTGTTTGTTTGAAAACAAATGAGGAGTTGGTAGAACGGGGCGATGATTAGAAACCCAAAGTCACAAAGCTCACGCTTATTCTAGTTCTAATGAGATGCTCTGACCGACTTTGGGCGGCTAACATTAGAACTCATTTAGTTCTAATTTTTAATAATTCTGAAAAGCATCAGTAGTCGCTTAATTAGATCCAAACAGACACCTAGTCTTGGCTGTTTAGCCTAACAGGCTTTAATCAACATATTTTTAATGATCGCTTGGTACAGTGGTTGCATCACAGACACTTTGGAGGACACAGACTTGCTTAGTTTGAAAACACTGTTGCATAGTTAAAGTGAAACATGTTTTTCCTTTTCCCTCTGTTTCCTCTAAAGGGATAAGGAGCGAGTGTTGGCTAACATGGAGCAGGAGTATCCAACGCAGAGAATGGACGTTCCTCGTTTCACTGGGGGAGGCTTTGCTCTCACCAAGCAGCCGCCCAAGGTTATGGCCTAAACTGGAGTCATCTTATCATGTCCCACTTTTCCTGCTGAACTAAATCCGTTCTTGGGTGTTTCAGAGAATGGTTTTAGAGTAACTCATATCAAATATTCTCTTTGCTATCACTGCATTGTTATCATAAAAGAAGCTTATTCTAGAGCGGCCAGTACTGTAATTTACACACTCTGGGCTAAATTCCACCCTTGATGGCACCAGCATTACCACATGTCCATGGAGCTGCACAGCTGGGACATATGCTGATATTTCTTCCTTATTACTGTGACTTTTTATTTAGAATTGTAACACCCAAAATACTTCAATATGCGCAACTTTATACCCTCTATCTACCTCCACCCCAAACACATTCCGTTTATCCATCAATTTAAATCTACTAATAGGAAGGAGAAAAACAGAAAAGAAGGAAAAAGGAATAACAAGAAGCTCCATGGCCTATTTTAAGCAAATACAGAGTTGACAACTCTTTGCTCAGATGTTCACATGAGACAGTTTTTTGTGCATGAGTAATATCGTTTGGTTTATTCAATATTTGCTACAGCCATTATTAAGATCAAGGGAGTTTCTGGCCACAGTACACCTACCCACTGCCCATTGTTAAGGGATGCAATTCTGCATACTGGATGTGGATACTAAGTGACATAATTATGACTGTTCAAATAGGCAGTCTGTCTACTCTGTCTGGAACCTACCATCCTCTATAAATTTTCTTGTGAATCTGAACTCAAAACATGGCAAACTTTGCACTTTAATTTCTATTAAGAGAGAGATCCTGGAACATTTTTGTAACTTTAAAAAATTGTTTTTGCAATGCAGCGTGAGCCCTCCAATCTTTTCGGCCAAAAGAGATTTAATTACCAAGTGATATGACAAAATCACTGCAAGAGGAGCTGAAGTAGAGAAACTCTCAAGCTATAAAATAAAATGTTTTGAAACTGATTTCTATATGGAATGCTCTCTCTTTGGACTAGTTTTTCATCCCTGAGGAGAGATGCTGATAAATATTTAATACAAAAAAAACCCTTTGCAGAGATTTTGATCTTTGCTTTGGTGGAATACATAATTAAATATTGAAGCTACTGTGGGAAACTTTTAATGGAAGTGTTTAATTCAGGGGACTCAAGTTAAATACAACAGGGAATCTACTTTGCTGGTACATCAGACTAGAACACCGAGTCATCAGATCTATTGTATCTTTTTTCTCTGTCAAGTATATTTGCACCACAGTATCATTTTAGAGGAGTCTTATTGTCTGAATCTTGTCGTGTGTGTGACATTTCAGTATAACCACAATAATCCAATCACAGTAAAGTCAAGATGGCTGACCTGGATAGATGAGTATGAAGACATCCCAAATAGGTCTAGGCCATTCTTTAGAAAGGAGCTGCATTTCCAGTAGTTACTATAAAGCCAGATTCTTTCCCCGTTTACTCAGACTGAGTAGTAATGTACTCTGGGAGTAGTCGTATTGAAATAAATTAAACTATTCCCAGAGTAAACCATTACTTCATATGGGTAACAATGGAAAATTGGGCTCAGAGAACCCTAGAAGCCCAGCCCATTATGCATAAGTCATTTGTTTATTACTCCATATCTTAACTGTACAATATAGGGGCCAAATTCAAAGTTCATTCAAATCAGTGGCTGTCTTTCCATTAATTCAGATTAGGATCTAGGAGAGAGTGTGACCTAATGGTTAAGGCAGGGGGCACGGAATGGGGGTGTAGGCACCAGGCTGATTCTCTGCTCTGCTTCTTTCTGCTTGTGACCTTGGGCAAATCCCTAACAGACAGATTCTTCCACCATTACTTGCACTGTGTAGTATCTAGTATCAAAATAAAGGGGACTACGAATGGAATAAGGTACTATTCAGTGAGGAAGGGAGGCAGAATCTGACCTTAAATATCTCACTGTCTCAGTTTACCTATCTGTAAAATGGGTATAATAATACTTGAGTGGAGAGTTAGGAGGATTCATTCATTCATGTTTGAAAAGCACTTTAAGGTACTTAGATGAAGAGCACTATAGGAATGCAAAGTACTATGTATGATTTGTGACAGCAAGTATGCTTTCTACTCCGAAGGGATGAGTAATAGGTCTGAGCCCACTTGCCAAGTGCAGCAGATAGGAGACTAAGGTTAGGCACCCAAAGTTTGAATACATTGGCCACTAGCCCTGCCCCAGCTCATTGCATTAACTAGAGTTACCATACGTCTGGTTTTTCCCAGACATGTCCGGCTTTTCGGCAATCAAACCCCCGTCCGGGGGGAATTGCCAAAAAGCTGAACATGTCCGGGAAAAATACCGGCCGGGCACTTCCCCTCCCGCGGCTGCTCTGCTCCTCCCCGGACTCAGACTTCAGCTCTGTTTAAGAGACAAGCTGCCCGAAGCCGAGCGCTACGGCTCGGGCAGC